AGCTGGGCCTGACCGCGCAGACAGCATCTCTGGTTGAAGGAGCTTCTTGAATTTTAGGGCAGCCGGGTAACTCTAGATCCTCCTGCCTCAGCTTTAAGAAGGCACAGTTTTTCTTTCATTTCTACAGAGATTTGTGTAATTAGAGTGACTTTTGCTGTGAAGTCTTCCCCTCTACATCACAGTTTCTGAAACCAGATCAAGACTCCATATGGCGTTGTGTATGTGAGGATCACAGAGAATTTGGCAACAGTAGACGTTTCTAAATGCTCAATGACCAAACATTAATTCAAAATCAAGTGTGTAATGAATCCAGAGTGTTTCTGACAGTTCTCATCCATGTTGCAACATATGACTTCACTACAGTCTTGGTTCTGAACATGCAATATGGCCATTTTGCATTATGCATAGTGTTATGGTACCCAACACCAGTGAATGTTGCCTGAATACCACAGCTCAGATTTGAGAGTATTGTCTATTATGCATACATTCCAGTGTTTTTATTGTCCATACAAAGTTTTATGCTCTTATAGAAACATAATGGTTTAATTATGTAAAACAAAGCTTTTAATATTTTCCTACTCAGCATGTAAGTAGCAATTTAGTATGTCTTTGGATTGCACTGGGCTAGAATATTTGATTTTTAAATATGCTATTTGATTTGCTGACTTGAGTTTAATTAAAAAAAAAAAGAACATTAAGTTTTGGCTTGGATTTGGGACAGAATTTCAGAAATAGCCTTAGACATACTTTTGCTATTTTGTACTACCTATGTGAAAGGGCATTCTCAGCATTATAACAGCTAAATATTGACGAACTCTGAAAAATGTTGAGGATGTGTTCTATATCCTGCAGCATCAAATATCCAGCTGTGATTTTAATTCTTTATGTAAAAATAAGTAATCTCTCTCATTAGTATTTTAATTTTCTTTAATATCTAATAAATGATAAAAATATGTATACCAAATAATTGTTTGAAGAGAAATTATTTTATGACTTATTATTAATAAATGTTTGACTTACATACTTAACTAATATGCTTCTATACCTAGAGTTGCATAAAAATTCCTTGAAGGAAAAAGGAGTCACTGGTAGCAAACGTTTAAGAAGCCCTACTCTATGCTAGCCCAGTGTCTAACTAAATCCCACCTTTGCCGGGACCCTACCTATACCCCCTTCTGTTCTGGAAAAATGATACCCACATGCACATTTTCTGTTTTTTATGATATAGATTTGCATCGACCAGTTTGTATGTTGTTTTTAAATAATAAGGATATTACAATTTCTGTGAATGTGTAGGCTTCTCTTGCTTGAATTTCACAGGTACTAATTGTCCACTGCAATGTGGAAATACCGTCCTGCCCTACAGTGATATATAGAGTACGTTACTGGAACACCACTGCTCAAATCATAATGCAACAGTGTTGCTGAGCAGTTTTGAGTTTAGATATAGTGAAGTTACCCTGTAACTAAGATGTTGGCATGAAAAAAGAAATCCAACACGAAAAAATTAAAATAAAATAAAAAAAAACATCGTGTGACCAGACAGATTATACATATCAAGGCATTGGAAGTGGTTTTTGGCTAAAAAGAAAAGCTGAATTTCTTTCACATCCTCAGTGAACCCATGAAGCTAAATGAAAGAAAAAGAAAGCAAGCCATGAGAAACATCCTTTTAATGTCACGATGAGGTAGTGCTGGATTTGTTCCACTGGAAACTGTCGAAAAGAATGCATCTGGACTGCTCTGTGATGAACCAGGAACATGCTCTCACTACACACTTAACTGGTGGTGTGTTTGAGTCGTATATTGTTGATTAAACAACATCACATGGACAAGGGGGTTCATAACTGGCCTTGGAGGTTCTTGTCTTGGCAACAGTGGCATTGTAGATGGCGAGGCAGATCCCTCTCAAGTAAGGGATGGCTGGCTGAAAGCTGAGGTCTGGTCTGCTAACAACCTCCTTAAGAGATTTCTATGTGTTTTGTGCAAATACATTTGCTTATGCAAATGAGTTCATGTTCAGTTTAAACATCAGCTTGCATTGGAACTGTTTGAAACCACTTTTTAGCTAGTTATTTTTAAATTCACCTTTTGAGGTGTATGTGACCTTCCTCCTCTGATTTTTTTCAAATATTGGAGCTCTGGGAAGTAACTGTTAATATGTTTGCCTGATTCTGAAGGGAAAAAAAGGTCTTTTTTAAAATTCAAGTTTGTTTTCCTAGTCCAGAGCACAAAGTGCTCATAAATGTTTATTGAATGTTTGAATGAATAAATAAACAGATAAATTAAGATCTCTTTGCTTAGATGACCTTGGCTAAAGGTATTTATTACAGAACCAGAGAAGTGTTCAAGATGCAGTTGTCTCCACCTGAAAACCTCTGGACATCTGTGCTGAATCCCATCCACCCAAAACAATTTAAAGCCAGTGTACCAAACACTGGGGTTCATTGTGACCTTTTCATACATATACTTTTGTACATTGTATGTTGCTCGGACCTACCACTCTATTAACTCCCCTTCTTTCTCACCTCCTTCTACTTATCCTCCTCTCTTTTCAAATAGTTTCATTCTACTTCCATACGACATATTTGTAATTTTGATTTCACATATCAGAGAAAATGTGCTATTTGTCCTTTGGAGTCCAGCTTATACTATTCCACACAATGATCTCTAGTCTCATCCATTTTTCCTGTATATAACATAATTGCTTTCTTTTATTGGCTGAATAATATTCCATTGTGTATGTATAGGGTGTTTTCTTTATTTGCTGACTGGATCTAGGCTGATTCTGTATCGTGTCTTTTGTGAATAGTAAACACATGTACAGGTGTCTCCGTGGTGTGCTGACTAAGATTCCTTTGTGTGTATAACAGGAGTCAGACATCTGGATCACAGACACAGGTCTCGTTTGTGGATTCTTGGTTTCTATTGTCTCCTTTCCCTGGGAATTGCCTGTGTTGCTAGTCTTTGTTGAGAAGAACTATGCATTTGCATATCGAGAGACCATCAGTTGATAGTTTCCATGAGAGCAGTTGAATCAGATTGATGCTGAAGAGCAGAATGGGGGTGCAGATGTCCTGCTGATGTGGTCCTGATGTGTTTTTAAAGGACTTTGTCTTCAAAATTATTCTGATACCATAGTGCTTGGAAGCACATGATAAAACTGTAACCGAGGATGTCAGCAGAGGGGAAGGGAGCCGCTCTGAGAAGTCAGAGGATGCTGATAGGCCCAACAGATGCCCTGGGCCTCTGATTGGTGGAATAACAGACGAGGAGGTGCTGAGACTGCTCACAGGCAGAACTGGAGAAGTCCTTCTATTGAGGTCTGCAGATTTCTATTGAGCAGGCAGGTCCTCGCTTACTTCTCTGCTGGGTAGATTTGGGATGAGTGGGTTGGGCTGAGGGTGGAAGGGTACAGTAGAGGAGGATGGCAGACACTGCTACCGCACCACCAACATCCACTTCCTGACGTTTAGAAGAAAAAATAAAGCTCTGTGGATTTTGCTGGGTCCAAACAAAACTAAATTGTCTCCTATTCCCACCATATTCCAGAATCGTGAAGAAAGGGAATAATAAAATGTAAATGGTTTACTTCTTTATATAGAATGTTTGGAATGTAAAACATGGATGACTTAAACTTACTGCATATAGAATATGCTGGACATAAGGAATATAAAAATCTGAAAATTTAGAGAAGAAAATCATAATCATCTCATTTAAAAAATAAAATTACTGTCGGGTGGTGGTGGTGCATCCTTTAATCCCAGCAGATTATCCTATGCCTTTAATCGGGAGGCAGAGGCAGGCAGATCTCTGTGAGTTTGAGACCAGCCTGGTCTACAGAGTGAGTTCTAAGACAGGCTCCAAAGCTACACAGAGAAACCCTGTCTTGAAAAACCAAAATAAAATAAAATAAAATAAAATAAAATAAAATAAAATAACCTTTAATTCTTCAGACAAAAGGACCTTAGGCTCATTTGTACCTCTAAGTCTCACTTCTTGGTATTTGATTTGCACAGTCCATGGGTTTCCCTCTTGTTCACTGCTGAACTCCCAGTCTTTAGAACAGTGGCTTCTCAGGTAAGACCTACTTGAAAAAGCAAAATGAATGCTGTTCGTGTGCTGGGTCCTGGGGAGTCCATTTCTGTTCATCACAAACAAGAATGGTAACAACAGACCAAAGAAATGATTCCACAGCAGTCTAGCTTGCTACGTACAAGAGCATGGGCAACTTATGAACTGCTCCATTCCCACCTCCAGCAGCCGCTTGCCTGGACTGCTTGATCGACTGGACATGCAAGACCCATGGAAGGATGACCACTGAACTTTGCTTGACAAGATGGTCCTTCAGGTTCCTGCTTCACAGAGAAAACTGCCAGACATTCTATGGGACACTAAAAAAAAAAAAAAAATAACAGAGAGACTCTAGCCCTGTGAACTAAAGACAGATGCCCCAACTTTACAAAGGAACATTAGGTGACTGTCCAGGCTGTCAGCTGTTTCTGTCTACCCTGTAAGACTCCCGAAAATTACATACATCCTTCTCCCATTTCTCAGGTAATATTATATCCTTCTGAGGTCTTTGATGTCGTTAAAGACTAGATAGTTGTAATTTCCTCAGTTATGATAAAAGATAAATTAGATACAAAACCTTAAACCCACAAATATAAGATAGATAGGACATCTTCTTTAGTATTGTAACTGTAATTCTTGCTCGATAATTGTTTTGTTATATGTAATTTTACCATGTTAAAGTTAAAACCTTCCTTTTTAAAAAAAGAAGAAAAGGGGAAGTGCTGTGGATGTCGCTCTATATAAATAAAACAATGATGGCCAGTGACCAGACAGGAAGTATAGGCGGGACAAGGAGAGAGGAGAATTGGGGAAACAGGAAGTAGGAGGGGGAGACATTGTAGCCACCGCCAGGACAAGCAACATGTAAAGACGCCGGTAAGCCACCAGCCACATGGCAAGGTATAGATTTATAGAAATGGGTTAATTTAAGATATAAGAACAGTTGGCAAGGAGCCTGCCACGGTCATACAGTTTATAAGTGATATAAGCGTCTGAGTGATTATTTTATACATGGATTGTGGGACTGCGGGGCTTGGTAGAACCTGGAGAGACGCTCTCCAGCAACACCTCGTGAGCTTTCTCACCTTTTCAGGACAATGTAGTGCACTCAGTCGTGTGAGGGTCTGCTTTGGGTGAGGGTCTGGTTTGGATAATCCTAGTTGTTCTGATTTCAAGATGACAACGGCTGTGACCTGCCCAGAGAACAGTGGTCCCCACGTGCTTTCACTAAGGGCAATCCACTCTGGAGGGTCTCATGTGTGTGACGCAGAGAGAAAGACTTTGGTCACTGTAGTGGGGGCCCCAAACATGGAAGAACCTCCTCCAACAACTACTTCCAACGAGGGCAGATCTGTCTGCTGCTGAAGGATTCAGCACCGGCCAATAACAAAGCAAGTTAGAGTTAGGCAATGCAAGTGTGGGAGACAAGGTGGGGACACAATTGAGGTTTTCAGTGTGGTCCGTGGGAAAGGAATTGAAGACCTTGACACTAATCTAGGAGGAGGGAGGGGGAGGGCGGGAGTAGCTGGAGATTGGACCGCTGGGCTGGAAGAAGAGAAAGAGAATCCTGTTTTGGTACAGCTGAGGTGGGCCATAGGAAAAGCAAAGTGCCTGATATGGGGCTTAATACATGCTGTGTGCAGCCCAGGAAGTCTCCCTGACCTTTATAGTCTACCAAGGTTTAGAATCAATATGTCTTTCTTGGAAAACGGTAAGATAGGAGCCTTCGTCTGGATGTGTAGAGAGCTGAGGAGGTTAGGGTCTCAGTCTGAGGGGGTGGGGGAGATGTCTGGGTTACACGGCTCATATGCTAATGGAACTCAGTCTGTTGTGGCTTTCTTGAAGTCAGGGTAGGTGCCCCCAACTTTCTTTAAAGGAGGAGTAAGTTATAGTGGTCTGGGAGTAATGATAACCAGTGAATGTTTACTGTGTATCTGTCACCTACTGCTGCGTAACAACTGTTGAATTGTAGTGATCTTCTTGGGCAGCTTTTCCATGCATGTACAAATTACCTGGAGGCACTAACTGAGGTTGGATTTGTACAGCTTTACTTTCAGCTGAGGGTCCTATGGGCCCTGGGTCTGCTCCCAGTGGATTCGTTTTGAAGGGCGGCATTAACTTGAAGAGAAGCTCATCTAATTCATCTAATCGTGCAGGCAGAGGCCCAAGCAAACAGTAGAGTATGATCTACATCTCTGAGACCAGATGCCTGGGAATTGACAAACTTCAGCCCTCCTTCCACTGGCTGAGGGGTCGCAGGCCACCTCCTAAGAAGCGACCTTATGCAGGAGGAACAGCAAAGGTTGCAGATACCGAAGGGTGAAACATCGGGACCAGTAATTCAATCTATTGTATTAACTGACAGGCTGACCACCGAACGCGATTCCAAGAGCAAGCCCATGCCCAGCCTCTGTTGGGTAGGTTGGATCTGAGGGCCTCTAGTTTTCCTCTTTGTGAAAGTGGCCATTGAAGTTAAAAACCTCATTTTTGTAATAGAATGCACACAACAGTACACATATTGACTTATGTTTTTAGTCAATATCAAGATTTATTGTCCCCAGAGTTAAATAAATCGTGATATTGACCCCATCATAAGCCAATATCTGCCTAATGCATTTTTTAAAAAGTATTTTGTATTCATTTATATTAATAGGACAGAAGCCATCACTCACAGTGTTACTTTGTTATCTCTTTCTCGTTCTTTCTTCATTGTTATTTTCTCATGACTCCTGGTAATTAGCATAAGGCTTAATGTAAGAGTAACTATGGTTTGGGAAAGAGTCAGCAACAAGGAGGGGGAGAGGTGGGGGAGGGAGGAGGGGGAGAGGTGGGGGAGGGAGGAGGTGGGGAGAGGGTGCCATCCGTGAAGAGAGACTAGGATTCTCTTGTCTGGTTCCTGATGGTGGAAAGGCAATGAATCCCGTCTTCCTGGGCCCCTCTCTGATGTTCCACACACATTCCTTTGTGTCGGTGGGGAGCTGGGGGTGAGGGGCACGGCTATGATTTCTCACTTGTCCGTCAGTTAGTTTTCTGGGTTTCCATGCTGCTCTGTTCCTGATTTCTTTGTCCCTTTCTGTTCTTTCTTATCCTCTGCTTATTTTGTAGCTGGCATTTACATTTTCTGGAGGAGTGGAAAAATATTTCTTTAATACTGAATTCCATTTATCTCCATAAATTGGTTAGGGTATATGATCTAAAGGACTCAGCTGTTTTTAAAATAGGTTTATTCCTTTCCTTGAAGATTATTTCCACACAGTGTGGACGAGTTAGAAGGAGACTCATTTTGTAGATCTCCGCCAGAGCCTTACATTTGCAGGGGATCATTTCAGATGTGGGTTTTTCTTGAACAAAGAAATTAAATTTATATGTATCACCTAAATTATTTCCAATTCACGCTTCAGCCACGGGTGCAGATCCTCATGGCATATATAGCTTGCATGGACCTGCCCCTCTCCCATCATAACACACTAGATCTGTTCACAGTGTTGACTAGCAGGGAGGTGGGGTGGCTGGGGGGACAGTTTTGTGGGGAACTTACCCTTGTTTGCAGCAGGGCTGTGGTCAGTGTGGCTTTACCAATTTTGTCCCCGAGTGAGGTAGTGGAGAGAGGAGCTTTTCAGTCTTCTCTCTCTGCAGAAGACAGGAGACCTACCTCCCAAGAGTGTTTAAAAGAAGGTAACTCCTTGGTTTCCTCCAATTTTTCTCTGTCAAATGCCACCACCGTCCCAGGCCCAGGACCCTACCCCTCCACACCCCAGATGGTATAGGACTTCTTGCATGTAATCCATCCTTGGTTTGGAGTAGTGTCTTGTTACTGTTGTTTTGATATCTATCTTCACACCAGACCGGAAACTACAGGAGGCAAAGAGCAGAGTTCCCCACCTCTTTAGAGGGGGAGCAGGAACATGAGAAGCTATGATTGTCACTGACAACAATGACTGTCACCAACATTTGTTTAGAACAGATTAACTCATTTGATTTCTCTGATATCCCTAGTAGTCGGATTACCTATGAGGAGAGCAGACACAGAGAAGTTGCCTAATCTCAAGCTGACCAGCAACGAAAACCAGTTATCAGACTCTTAAGTTCACGTGCTAACCTCAGAGCAGGCTAGTTTCAACAAGTACATTCGGCTTTGGTTTTCTTGTCTTAAATTAAAGGAGAATAAAATCAAGCCCACATTTCTTATCCATTTGTGGGCTAGGTTAGGTAGAGGACAAAGCAGGTCTGGGAGAAGGATGCAAGATTAGAGGCACTTTTATAACATTGCTTGTAGCTCTTTCTCTACCAGACTTAGGTGGAATGCTTAGAGACCATGGCTCCTTACTTGTGGGGAGCAATAAAGAGGCAGATACAAAAGGTATCCCTCTAGATGGCTATTGTAGCACACAGGAGTGTTCCACGCCCTGGTCATACCCTTTCCCAGCCAGGCTCCTGCTCCATGGCATCAGCTCGGTTGATCAGGGTGGTGGAGGCTATCCATACTCTGACATGTGCTGTTCTGACCTTGTCTGGGTTGGGCTGGCAGTGTGGAGCCTTCCCTCCGTCAGCGCATGGAGGCAGCTTTCAGCCCACACCCCACTTCCGCAGGGTTCGCTGGGTGACTGTTGTACATTTCTTCACAGAAGCAAGCTAATGTCATCTGGTCATGCTGCATGGGCCTAAACATGACATCTTCCTATCTGGTCTTCCATGGTTGAGATGTATCAATTTGATAGGTTAAACTCATGAGGGTAATAGGTCTGGCGAAAAGAGAGAATGATCCACAGGCCCCAGTGAGCTCTTGGGACTTTCTTGACTCTAAGTTCTAAAAGTCCTCTCTCCCCTTCTCTCCTTTCCTTGCTTTTTTTTATTCAGCTCTTCTCATCTTCTTTCCTTCACTACCCCCTTTCTCTTCCTCTGCTCCCCATCCCCTCTCTTCCCTCCTACCCTCCTTTATCTCTTCCTGCTTCCCCCCTTCAGAGGATGGGACAATTGGACATCTAATGTCTGTAGAGAAGCCAGACTCATGTTCACAGCTGGTAAGCAAATCTTCCCATGTCTCTTAATTCCAAGAGTGCAGACTAGAAAGGGACAGTCTGAAAAGGGCAAATTATTCCTTACCCAGACCTAGGCTGTCACCATTAGCCTCTTTGACTTGGAGCCATAATGACTGAAGTCTGTGGTAGGGGGTGTGCAACGTGTCCTAGAGAGGCCACAAGCCTTTAGTTTGTTTAGTTAGTTTGCTTCCAGGTAAAGTGGAATCGTGATTCTGGTGTGTGCAGTTCTCTTGAGTTTTGTTTGGGGGCTTGGAGGATGGCAGTGGGGACACCCTGGTGTGAAGGAGCTGGGTGCAGTTCTTTCTCTTCCTTAGGCAACATTTTCAAGTGGGCAGACACCCCATCTCTGCTGACCATCTGACTTGTTGTTTTTGAGTCATATTTAACCTAGATTTCCTTGGTTCCAGGTGAAGCTCTTATACTTTTCTTTCCATTTATTTCTAGAAATGTAGTTCCTTCCTTCCTTCCTTCCTTCCTTCCTTCCTTCCTTCCTTCCTTCCTTCCTTCCTTCCTTCCTTCCTTCCTT